CCCGATGTGGGGCTCGATCCCAGGACCCTGGGATCATGACCTGAGCCGAAGGCAGACGCTTAACGACTGAGCCACCCAGGCGCCCCTATTTTTTACTATAATTTTTAAGAGTATATTTTAAAAAATAACAAAACCTTCATCAAATGTGATCTTTAGTGTCTATTGAAATTAGTCTTAAAAATGCCAAGAAAGTTAGGACTTATATCAGATGAATTAAAAGATCATTGATTTTCATTTTCCCTTCTGCATTCTACCTAGGTGTGAGTAATGACATAAAAAAAATGTCAGAATCAGGGGCGCCTGGGTGGCTCAGTCGTTAAGCGTCTGCCTTCGGCTCAGATCATGGTCCCAGGGTCCTGGGATCGAGCCCCGCATTGGGCTCCCTGCTCTGCGGGGGGCCTGCTTCTCCCTCTCCCACTCCCCCCAGCTTGTGTTCCTTCTCTGGCTGTGTCTCTCTCTGTCAAATAAATAAATAAAATCTTTTTAAAAAAAAGTCAGAATCAAAAATATTTTTTCCTTAATCTAATGGTCGATTGCATGGCTCATTTAATTACCAAGTTTCATCTACTCTTGGTAGAGCTTTTTCCTGGCCTACCCACAGCACAGCCATTTCTCCCCATAGCAGGTGTGATGCTCTGTGTCTGCCTGTGGTCTGTCGGGGTACTCAAAAGTGTGTGCCTCAGGAGAAAGGCAGATTTCCAGTATAGCTTTAGACGAGCCTGAAAGACAAAAATAAAAGAGCTAATCGTAAAGGAGATAATGATATATTTGACATATAAAATTTAAAGCTTACATTTATCAAAATACACCTTCAAAGAAAATGGATAAAGATGTTTACAACACATATAACTGACCAAGGATTAGTTTCCAGAATATATATCTATATCTAAATTAATGCAAATCTGTATGAAAAAGACAATTCAGTGAGAAAATTGAGCAGAAATTAAGAAAATCAATAAAAACCAAAGACCAAAGGCTGATTTTTTTGAGAACATCTCTAGCTAGACTGATCAGGAAGAGGAGAATACATTAACGTCTAATGCCAGAAATGATAGATATGTTGTCAGTAGAGTCTACTGATATTTAAAGGTAAAAGAATATTATGAAAAACTTTATGCCAATAACTTCTACAGCACAGATGAAAGAGACAGTTTCTTGAATGATACAAACTATGAAAACTCTCAAGAAAAAATGGGAGTCTCTGAATAGCGCTATCAAGTAAATTGAGATTGGAGTTTAAAGCATTCTAGTGAAGAAAACTCCAGGCCCACACAGCTTCACTGATGAATTCTACCAAATATTTAAGAAAGAAATACTTAGAGTAGTTCTACAGAAACTCTTCCAAAAAATTTAAAGAGTATGTCCCAACTCATTCTGCAAGGCCACTACAAGAAAATAAATGGACCTCATGAATCTAGATGTAAAAAATTTGAATAAAATTTTAGTTGACTGAGTCCAACAATATATTAAAAGGACAATACATCATTACCAGGTAGGGTTTATCTGAGTAATGCAGGGTAGGTTTAACATTCAAAGGTTAAATGGAATTTCCATATTAATAATCTAAAAAAAGAAAAACCATCTATATCTTAGCAGATTCAGAAAAAGCATTTGACAGTATCCAGCATCCATTTTTTTTTTTTTAAGATTTTTATTTATTTATTTGAGAGAGAGCTGGGAGAAGGGTAAAGGAAGAGGGAGAAGCAGGCTCCCCGCTGAGCAGGGAGCCCGATATGGGGCTTGATCCCAGGACCCTGGGACCCCCATGATCATGACCCGAGCTGAAGGCAGATGCTTAACCGACTGAGCCACCCAGGTGCCCCTCCAGCATCCATTCTTGCTTGATAAAACAACAGCAGCAAACTAGGACTAGAAGGACAGTTCCTCAACTGACTAAGGGCATCTATGAAAAACCTCCAGTTAGCCTCATAACGACGAAACCATTGCTTTGCCCCCTAAGATCAGGAACGAGACAAGGATGTTCATGCTGTCCACTTCTAGTCAACATGTTACTGGAGGTTCTGGCCGGTGTGGTTAGGCCAGATAGTGAATAATAAAATGCATTCCAATTGGAAAGCAAGAAGTAGAACTGTCTTTATTTACAGACTACATAGAATTTTGTCTTCAGTCAGTCAGGTGTTGGAGCAGAATAAAGTCCTGCAAAGGACTGAACATTGACCTGAAGATGTCTTCCACTCAAATAAGGAGTAAACCAAGAGTGGGGAGAAGTAGAAGACCATAGAAGGGTAGAAGGAACGACCCTCAGGCTGGTCAGCACGACAGCTGTGTGGCAGGCCTAGAGGACCCTCTAGGTCAGAGCATAAGGGGCAGCCCAGGAGACCGAGAAGCTTGCAGACCAGAGGGCATTCAGGCCGGAACAGTTGAGGTTTTAGTGAAGACAAAGAGAGGAGGTTACAGAGGTGAATACCTGCAGGAGAGGCAGCCATCTGTATAAACCAGCCAGGGTACAGGGGTGAGGCGCACTGAAGTGCAGCATACATTGAGCAGTGTGGTGGGAATGTAAGAAAAAAGAATCCATTTCATGTTTCAGGAATTTTTTCTAAAAGAGCCCAGGGAGTGAGGCAGTACCTACCTGGAGAAGGAAATGGGCCAAAGAGAAGGATATTCTTGGTCTGGCATATTGACTTATTTATAAAAGCTTCTCACTTATGTTCAGATTATAGAGCCAGTTTTGTACACAAGTGTGTGAAAAGAGAAATGTAGCTGACAGAAGGTTGGATGTGGAAGTTAGATGATAGGCAGCCTGGACTTTTATCTTTTTTTTTTTTTTAAGATTTTATTATGTGAGAGAGAGCATGAGTTGGGGTGGAGGGGCAGCGGGAGAGGGATAAGCAGACTCCCTGCTGAGCGGGGAGCCCAACGTGGGGCTCGATCCCAGGACCCCGAGCTCATGACCTGAGCTGAAGTCAGATGCTTAACCAACCGACTGAGCCACCAGGTGCCCCTGGGCTTCTTTCTTACTTTCTTCTTGTTTCTTTTCTTTCTTAAAAAAAAAAAACCTTGAGCTAGGTTTGTAGGTGTTGTGTTTTAACTCTTTTGGTAATGATTCAGAAGAAACTACGAACAACCTGGTTGATAAAAAATGGACACGATAAACTGTTTTGCCCGAGTAAAGCACGGAGAATAGAAAGGTGTCTCAACTTAGGAGTGCCGGTGGTTTGGTGAAGCAGAGGTTCTGTCTGGTGAGGTTAGAAAACCTGATGCTTAGTGTGGGCAGAAGACTTACTTTGGGGACTGTTTTGCAGGGAGAAGTCTTAATGTCTCTCTGGCACCGCCAGGCAGAGGGAAACAGATTGAGACACCGACACAGGACATGGCGGCATCAGAGAACAGTTAAATAAGGAGAGGGTTAAGTCCTGTCAGGGGTGGATGTCTCCAGCACACGCAGTTTGGATGGTACAGAAGTCAGTCATTGGAAGTGCCGGGGCTATAGAAGAGAGTGGGAAATAGGTACCCGCTCTACCCACGATCTACCCACGGTCAAAGGATAAGTAGCAGACTTTGAGTCGGGGTGAGTGGTCAGCTGTGTTCTGGAAAGGTGTCTGTTGGTCATTGTTCTTACACTGATCTTCAGTTGGTTCGGGCAGGTGATGTGCTGTGGGACAGCAAGTACCAGCAGCAGTCTGTGCTGCATAGACCCAGCCTGTGTAGACGTTTGTTCACTAGCTGCCTTTTTTTCAACAGGCGTGGTGTCTGTCTGTTTTGAGGGAGACAGTGATGGTTACATCAACTTGGTGGCCTACCCTTATGTGGAAAGTGAGACTGTGGAGCAGGATGACACACCAGAGCGGGAGCAACCTCGGCGCAAACACTCCCGCCGGAGCCTGCACCGATCAGGCAGTGGCAGTGACCACAAGGAGGAGAAAGCCAGCCTGTCCCTTGAAACCTCTGAGAGGTAAGGGGGTGGTGAGCAGGGCTGAAGGTGCACGTCTGGTCCTAGCAGCACAAACACTCGAGGCATCTCTAGAGTCCTGACACACCCTGGGGAAGTAGGGCTCAAGGTTGGGGGAAGATGGCTGGTGTTCGTTGGCTGCCCACCTGGGCGTGTCACATCACCCCAGTGATGCCACCTTCTGAGGATGGATTGAGCTGGTCAAGAGAGAGTGAAGGTCTCTCAGCCCTTTGGAAGCAAGGACTCTCCGTGGGTGCTCTGTGTACTACAGCTTGGTTATGTCTCACACATGAGGTTGAAATGCCTTGGGCCACAGTGAGGTTGCATCTGCTTTCTGACCTGTAGGATTGCCTAAGGGCAGTGAGAGACTGGACTAGTGTTCTTTAAGGGTTCTGGAAGAGGTTCTTTGACCTCTCTGAGACTCTGAGATCAGCTCTTAACCCTTTCCCTGCACCTAAAATTTAGTTTATTCCAGTGGAAATGATTTTTCTTGTAGATTAGGAAAATAGTTTACAAAGAGTTATGTTTCTTGATATTTTATGCAAAAAATGTGAACTCTCCTAGGATGGCTGTCATCAAAAGGACAGGCAAGAAAAGTGTTGATGAAGATGTAGAGAAATTGGAACCCTCTTAAATTGCTGATGGGAATGTAAAATAGTGCAGCCACCTTGGAAGACAGTTATTTGGCAGTTCCTTAGAAAGCTAAACCCATCAATTCCACTCCTGGGAATAGTAGCCCATACCAAGAGAATTGAAAAAATACATTCAGACACAAAACTTGCAAAGAAATGTTCATAGTAACATTATTCCTAACAGCCAAACAATGAAAGTAACCCAAGTGTCCGTCAGCTGATGAATGGATGAATAAAGGCTGAATATTATTCAGTGATAAAAAGGAATGGGCACTTATACGAGCCACAGTGGGAATGAACCTTGAAAACCTTTGCTAAGTGAAAGAAGTCAGTCACAAAAAACCACATATAATGTGATTCCATTTATAGAAAATGTTCAGAATAGGCAAACGCATGAGACAGTAAGCAGGTTATTGGGTGCCAGGGACTGGGAGGGGAGAGGAGGATAGGAAGTGACTGCTAATGGTGATTGTTTTGGGGGTGATGAAATGTCCTAAAAATTAGATAGTGGTGATATTTTATAACCTTGTAAATATATATTTTTTAAAAACCCACTGAATTATTAAAAAAGAAATTAAAAGTAATGTGAGCTTCCTGGAACAAAGTGAAATAAAAATTGTATGATTAAATTACTTTATATTTAATTTCGGGACACCTAGCTGGCTTAGTCGGTGGAGTACGTGACTCTTGATCTCAGGATTGTTGAGTTCGAGCCCCACGTTGGGTATAGAGATTACTTAAGAAAAAAAAATTTTTTTAAAGTATATTATTTCACTCAAAAATAAGTTTCAGTGAATAAGATCTGTGACTCAAAAGTTGGATTTGGGACTTTTCTTAGATGTGGCAGCACATAGCTTATCTCTAATGTCAGATCAGTTCAGCAACACATGCTGCTCACCCTGGCTGCTGAAGCTGTGAGCCGAGGGCCTTCCAGTGCTCCTTGCTCCCATCGATGGAAGAGGACGCCCATCGAGGAGCACAGAACCCCATGAGACTCTGTCTGAGTGTGTGATGTGTCCTCTCCCATGTCCTCAGTCGGGGGCCCTCTCTAGCCAGATCTGCATCCCTGCTGCAAGGAGAGAAATACCCATTTCATAGTAAGGAGGGTCTCCAGGTGTTAAGTGTTCTTGTGGAAAATAGACTCCAGTCTGCGGAAGCACTTCTTCAGGGCTTCCTTGTCATTCCCCAAGGGGCTTCCTCTTCACTGATGAAGGTGGGACCTAAGCTTAGTGACAAGGAATGTTCCCCAAGTCCTCCAGCCCATAGCCGGCATTAATGCCTTTCTCTCAAGAGCTCTTTAGAGTGGGCTTTCTTTTGGTCTCCAAAGGTATAGAAGTTGCTCCATGAATCATCTGATGAAAAGCCAGTGTACGTAGAATAACATCAAAGTCTGCCTGTGTCCGAGTTCAGGGCTCTGCTTTGAAAGTGACAGCTCTGTCTGCAGGCCCCGACCTCTGTTTGGCCTATTCGCAGAGGCTCTGAGTTACCGCCCGGAGTGGAGCTTGCTTCTTCACCAGGACCAGAGCTGCAACACCAGGGGTGATGCCAAGGGGCACGGGTTCCCCAGGCAGGCACAGAGAACTTATCTGGGCTTACTTGGCAGATTAGTAAACCTTGTTGTTTCTTTTCTTTTCTTTTTTACGATTTTATTTATTTGTCAGAGAGAGAGGGAGAGAAAGAGAGCACAAGCAGGGGGAGCGGCAGGCAGAGGGAGAGGCAGGCTCCCCTCCGAGCAGGGAGCCCAATGCGGGACTCGACCCCAGGCCCCTGGGATCATGACCCGAGCCGAAGGCAGACGCTTCACCAACTGAGCCCCCGAGCCGTCCCAACCTTGTTTCTTAAAGGGAATCACAAAAAAGGCGTCCATGAATAGCCTCAGCCACGCCGTCCCCAGAAGAACATGAGAGTTCCGTCACGCCGAGAAGCACCGGCGGCCGCTCTGCTTCCGGTCAGAGGGACTGGGAAGGTCTGCCTGGGTCTCTCAGCCGCTTTGCCCAGCCTGCCCGCCACTCTGTGCGGGAGCGCCCGCATTTCCAGGACACGCTAGGCCTGGTGGTTAGCTCGGCTCTGCGTGACTTCGCGCACCCACCGTGGCATGAGAGGACGGTGGCATCTGTCCGGAGCTGCCGCGCCCGCCTCTGTTCTGAGCTGCTCACTCGCTCTGCCGTTTCCCGGGCACCCGCTGCGCAGGCCCACAGACAGTGTCTGCAGATGCTTTCTTTGAGTCTTATTAAAAATTCGGTTGTAGATGTGGACACAAACAGGATAGTTACTCGTGTTCTTGACAGTGGCATCCCATGCTCCACCCTCTATTTATGAAGTGTAAAACTCTACATTCCTCAATCTTTGTATTTTTTAAAAGTGTAAAGTACACCTGTCAATTTATCATTTTCGCCTTTTCTCGGTGTATAGTTGAGTTGTATTAAACACACGCACGCTTTCATGCAGCCCTCACTACTGCCCATTACCAGAGCTGCTTTTCATCTCTAGCGGCAGCCCCATCCCTGTTAGATAACTCTCCATTCCCCTCCCCCCCAGGCCCGGGCAACCACCATTCTCTTTTCGGTTTCTGTGAATGTGCGGTTACCTCAGACGAGTGGAACCCTACAGCATTTCTCCTTTTGTGTCTGGCTTATTGCACTTAGCAGGATGTTTTCAGCGCTCATCCAGGTTGTAGCCTGTGTCAGAATCCCCTCCCTTTTTACTGCCAAACGCTACTCCACTGTAGGGTATGGCACATTTTGTTTTTCCGTTCATGCTCTCGTGGGCACTTGGGTTGTTTCCACCTCTTGTTTATTGTAATGCTGCTGTGAACAGAGTGTCAGGTTTCTGTTTGAGTTCCTGTTTTCAGGTCTTTTGGGTACAGACCTAGGAGTGGAATGGCTGGATCATTGGATAATTCCACGTTTAGCGTTTTGAGGAACCAGCAGACTTTCACGGTGGCTGCACCATTTTGCATTCCCTCCAGCATTGTGCGGGGGTTCCAGTCTCTCCACATCCTCTACAACACTTGTTCCAGTTGATTTTTATAGTAGCCTTCCTAATGCATCTGGAGTGGTGTCTTCATCACATAATTTGATGCCCAGAATTATTTTTGAGACAGTTTTCAGAGACACAAGTATAAATACTACTTATTACTCACTTTTATGCGCTCATGCATCCGGAGCCCCTGTGCCACCTGTCAGCAGGGCCCATGGGTGGCAGATGAGACCTGATCGAGGCCTCCTTCACCTTGTGCACCGAGACCCCGGAGGGTGACTTGTCTGAGCCCCTCAGCAGTGTGTCCTGTTCTTCCTTCTTAGCTCCCAGGAGGCAAAGAGTCCAAAGGTGGAGCTCCACAGCCACTCAGACGTCCCTTTCCAGATGCTGGATGGCAACAGCGGTTTGAGTTCTGAGAAGATCAGCCATAATCCCTGGAGCCTGCGCTGTCACAAGCAGCAGCTGAGTCGCATGCGCTCCGAGTCCAAGGACCGAAAGCTCTACAGTATCCTTGTTACTACACCTTCAGCAGTGCCCCCTGCTGGGACCGTGGGTTGGTCCTGTGTCAGGACACCTAGCACCATGGCCGAGGCCCTCTCTGTCCAGGAGCCCCTCCTGTTCTCATCTCCCTTTTTCATAGGCTCTTTGTCCTTCCTTGTTTTATGGACACGTTTTTTTTCTGCCTTTCGGGACTGGTAAGCCTGAAGCTTAAACTTGGCAGTTCAGAAGGGTGCTGTCTGGTAGAACCTTCTGGGACAGTGGAGGTATGTGTATCTGTGTTTAGTATGGTAGCCACTGGCCACACCGAGTAACTGAAACGTGCTTGCTCTGACTGAGTTACAGAATTTTACATTTATTTAAATTTAAATTGCCACATGTTCCTAGTGGTTACGGTATTTATCAGTGCATGTCTAGAATCAGGGATCTGGGTGTGTGTGTGTGCGTGTGCACACATATATTTTTCCCCTCCCAAAAGGTAATAATTACAAAGTGATATGTGGGGTTTTTTTGTCTAAGATAAACACCATACCTAAACAACATATAATAGTCTTTAAAGGATGGTAAAAGTAAAAAAAAGTATTATAAAATGGGAATTCTGATGATTGTTTAGTGTTTGAAGCAGTAGACTGTGAATAACTAATACTGGGAAACTGAGGGGAAATGTGCTGAGCCCTCTCTGTTTACTCAGTTTTCAGAACAGTCTCTTGAGCGAGAAAGTGTTGACGAAGCCCATTTATAGATGAGGAGATGGGAGCACAGGGGGGTTAGGTGCTGTGCCCAGGCCCGTGAGTGGCCACAGCAGGATTCAAGAGCCCATGTTCTCCGGCCCTGTGAGGTGTTTCTGCAGCCCTTTTTAAGTTTTATTGCCACTTGTTTATAGGTTATAGCAGGTGATGAAATTGATTAAAGGCCAATTTAATCGTTTTCTGTAAGTTATTTTTTAAAGAATTAGGCGATGCTAATATTTGCATCGTCAAGTGATGCCAAGTATCTTACCGTCCAAGATCATGTGATTGCTTCCTTGTCCCCCAGTACGAAATTGAGGTCCAGGCTGTAGGCCCTGGTGGCTTTTGACAGATGTGACAAGCCTATACCTTTATCCAGGATGGTTGCAGACAGTAGATGTAAATGAGGACATGGGTATAAATGCCATCCAGCCAGCCAGGACCGTAGAGGCATTTTAAGCAGAAGGTTCTAGAAATACCAAGGGATAAGTTTAAATTTGTAGTCACTGGTTTGAAGGTTAGTCAGAAAAAGGCAGGATAGAAATTTTAAATCCACTTTTTTCTAAGACTCCCATTCAGGAATGTTAAACCAGATTTCTCATGTTGGTAGCAGTGCCGCAAAGGCGTCTTACTTCTCTTAGGCCTCGGTGAGGTACGGCTGGAGTAGGGCCTCGGTTTACTGACGGTGCCAGGGATGTATGCACATCTGCCAGATCTTCTTAATTTGTGTATGCCTACAGGACAGAATAAAATAGAAAAAAATAAAAATGATGGCATCAGCAGATTTGGTATATATATACACCACGGAAAATTTTTCAGCCATAAAAAGGAATGAAATTTTGTCACATGCTACATACAAATCGGATAAAACTTGAAAACATTTTGCTAAGTGAAACAGCCAGCCACAAAAGGACAAATACGAAGTGTCTAGAATAGTCCTATTCATAGAGACGGAAACTAGAAAGGTAGTTACTGGGGGTGGGGGCGTGAGGAAGAATGGGAGATAGTGTGAGGTGGGTACAGTTTCTAGTTTTTGTTTGGGACGATGAAAAAGTTCCGGAGATGGATGGTGATGTGCACGGTAATGTGAATGTACTAATGCCACTGAACTGTACAGTTAAACATAGTGAAAATGGTACATTTTATGTTATGTGTATTCTGCTACAATAAAAAATTTTTGAAAAGAATGAGTAAGCCAGTGGTGTGACATCTACATTTGAGAGTCTGTGAGGTGAATACAGATCACATTAGAAGAGAATGCCCCCTTTTGTAGAAAAACTTGGTCGTGGTTTCCTGGCTGGGGCTGACGGTGAGTGTGGCTGTTATTCTCCTTGACCACGGCCCAGAGTTCCTCTTGCTTGAGAACGTGGTGCACCACTTCAAGTACCCCTGTGTGCTGGACCTGAAGATGGGCACCCGGCAGCACGGGGATGACGCATCCGCGGAGAAGGCGGCCCGGCAGATGAGGAAGTGCGAGCAGAGTACGTCAGCTACGCTGGGTGTCAGGGTCTGTGGCATGCAGGTGAGTTGCCCCTGGCCAGAGCCTCACTGCTGCTGCCCGCGTGTTTTGGGTGGCCCATGTACCTGCCTGCTCCCCCTGCCAGGTGTCCTCCGGGCCCACAGTGGTCCAGAGTCTCCTCCGAGAGGGTGAGTCCCCCACAGGGTGCCGAGTGCATCCTTATAGGTATGTTCCCTGAGCCCTCTAGGCTTTACCTGGTGACCTTAGTCTGGACTCCAGATCCAGAGCCTCTGTGAGAGCCTGTTGCCTTGACACTGGGACGAGTCAAGCTGGTCAGGAGTACTTTCCAGACAATGGCTGCCCAGGGCACTCGAAGGTCATCAGACCTCCCTGGTGCTCACCCGCTCTGTCTCCTGGGCTTTCAGGTGTACCAGCTGGACACAGGGCATTACCTCTGCAGGAACAAGTACTATGGCCGCGGGCTCTCCATTGAAGGCTTCCGCAACGCCCTCTATCAGTACCTGCACAACGGCCTGGACCTGAGGCGTGACCTTTTTGAGCCCATCCTGAGCAAACTGCGGGGCCTGAAAGCTGTGCTGGAGCGGCAGGCCTCCTATCGCTTCTACTCCAGCTCCCTGCTTGTCATCTACGACGGCAGGGAGTGCCGGGCAGAGTCCTTCCTGGACCGCCGGGCCGAGATGCGTCTCAAGCACCTGGATACGGGGCTCCCTGAGGGGGCACCACCCTGTGGCCCCAGCACCAGCCCCAGTAGCACCAGCCCTGAGGCCGGCCCCTCCTCTCCACCCAAGGTGGATGTCCGCATGATCGACTTTGCACACAGCACGTTCAAGGGCTTCCGGGATGACCCCACCGTGCATGACGGGCCGGACCGAGGCTATGTGTTCGGTCTAGAGAACCTCATCAGCATCATGGAACAGATGCGGGACGAGAACCAGTAGGCCCGGCCCTGGGCCCCCAGAACCCCTTCCTCTCCACCCGCAGGCAGGGACCATTGCTCTGACTGAACTCGCCGTGAGGACACACAGACTTGCTTTTAAAGGGTTATATTTCTCTTTGGTGTAAACTAAAAGAAATGTTTTTAGCTGTAGCCTGGAATCCATATATATAAAGTGAAGGAGGGCACAACACACATCCTCTCAGCCAGGCTCCTTTAGCTCTACGGCTCTGACTGCTGTGTCCAGGCTGACTTAGAAAGGAAGAGGTGCCCCTGGTGGATGGGCTTGGCAGCAGGGACAGGGTACCCTTGGACATTGGTTTCTCTTGCCTAGGTCTTTGGCGTCTGTGGCTGCAGGGCCCTGCTGGTCTTAGGGTGAAGCTGTGGGCTGGTACAGGGCCCCTCTGTGCTCACTCATCCCTTGTTCCTCACCAGTAGAGGATTGGGTGCCCATCCGTTGGGGGACTTCCTAGTCTGGTGGCATGGGCATCAACCAGCTCTTTAACACATGCCCCCCGGGTAGCACAGGGCCAATTGCACATCGCTGGACCCGTCCTTCTCGGTTCTGCTTGGCATGAGGCTAGATTCATGAAGCTGAGCTGAAGCCAGCTTATGGCAGAGGGCAGGCCCTGGGATCCCCAGGCACTCTTTGGCACTTGAACCTGCTCCTCTTCCTGCCTGCACACCCCAGCCAGCCTTTCTTACTGAGATCCCTTGCCTGAGGAGGCCACCCCTTCTTGCCCCATTGAAGGGGGTCCCTGCTCTATTTGCCGAGGAGAGTCAGTGTCCCAGCAGGCCTCAGGGCGTCTGGTGGCTCTGGCCTAGACAGTATTTGCAGTTCTTGTGCTGTGGGTGGGAGTCGTCTTCCTCTAGCTTGGGCAGCTGTGCTGCCTCTGGATGGTCTGCCCTTCCCAGGGCTCAAGGGCTGTGGTCCGCTCAGGGTGTCACCTTTCTCCAGGCTAAGCTCAAGGCAGCAACCCATTGTGAGGAGCTCCAGTCTTGTGAGGGAGAGCTTGAAGCTTGTCTGTTCATAGAGACATTGTTTGGGCCTTGGGTGCAGGTGCCCAGATTCTGCTAATGAGTTTCGTCTTATCAGTCCTGGGATCCATCAGTCTGTCCATTTGTCCATCTCCCAGCCAGCCCTTGTCTCTTGGGATCTTTTTCCTGGGCTGTAGCCTTGTTCATTAGTAAATATTGATTTCTGTCCTGCCATTTCTGAGGTGAGCTTTTGCCCCTGTGCCTGTTGTCAGCAGGTGCGACCTTTTTACAGAGAATTGGTAGCAAATGAATTGTAGGAGGTGTTTCCCGGATGGCCCAGCACCTTCTCTGTGGGCCTGGCAGTGTGTAGCCCTGCTCCACGTGGACAGTGGTACAGTGAAGGCCCAAGGGGTGATCTTTCTGGTGGTTTTTAATAATTTTTGCCTCCAGCCCTTAATGGCACAGAGACCTGCCACCTCGAACATGTGGCCAGGAGGTGACACTGCACTCACCTAGCCATTGCCAAGGTTAGTGCCCTCCCCTCTGAGCCTAGGGCCACTGTCATTGTTGCTTTGGGCGTGTCCTTGTTTGGGCATTAAAGGTAAGCCTGCCAGCCTGTCGAGGCCTTGGAAGTGGTGGATTACTTTCCGATTCCTTAGAGATGCAGCTTCACACATTTTAAATGGGCTCCTTGATGGATCCCATCTCTCTCTCAGCCCTCTGATCCTGGTGCCAGTAGTGGGCAGGTTCCCATTCCTTGGGGCTGGGAGGGACAGCTTGCTTGTTTCTGGTCAGTAACGACCATCTTTCCTGTACCATTCTGTGGCTTCAGGGGGGTAGTAGCTCATTCGTTTGGACTGGCATTTCCTGGCAGGGCAGAGGCTAAGACCAAGAGTCAGGGGCCACTTGGGACCCCCTTTAGTTGAACCTCTCCAGCCTGGGGATGTGCTGTGCCTCCTGAGTTCCTGTATTTTGGGAGCACATGCTGCCCCGTTGTGCTCTTCATAGTGAGAGAGACTATACCCACTATCTTCAGCGTTTTCCTGGCACTAAAAAGAGAAGAAGGGCCTGGGATTTGCTGCTACTCCATCAGGGCAGGATCCCTCTTTTCAGCACTTTTGACACTTGGAGACTCAGCTCTGTTACCTGGTGGGTGGTGGGCATGTGTGTGCACACACACTCTCTGCCTCTACTCCTTCTGCCTGCTCCTTGTCAGAGAGCCCTGTCCCTGCCAGGCCCTGCCTTCCCAAACCCCAACTTGGGACCAAAGTGCAACGCGGGATCACGGGTTGGGGTGCTCAAGTGACCCCCCTCTCTAGTGCTTCCCTGGGCCAAGTAGACACCAGCCCCCCGGGGGGGGGGGAGTGGGACCGGCGGTGCTTAACGAGGAAGGGGACCAGTGTAGCAACTTGGCCAGGGACCCCACCCCTCCCTCACATTGGGGCCTGTGCAGTGGGTGTGGGGGTTTCCCCAGGGGCCAAAGGCCTGGGCTAGTTCTTTAGCCGCTGCTCACTCGCGCACGTCCACGTGCACGCCCCCTCGATGCAGATTGCTTGGAACTTTATCGCTGTTCAATTTGGTTTTGTTTTTGCCGATTAAAAAAAAGTTTTAATGAGGAAAAAAATTGGAGCACCCTGGGAAGGACCTGGTTCCTTTGCTTCTCGGGGAACTGTGAGGCCTCGCCTCTAGGAATCGCTCTCTGCTCTGCTTTCCCGCCTAAACCTGCCCACGCCGCCCGAGGCCTGCGCCCCCTTCCACTCTCGGCTTCGGCCGCGGCTGGGCCAGCTGCGTCTCCTCGGGACCTTGCGTGCCGGGGAGGGGTGCTCGGGCCTTGCGCCGGGTCGCCCCTTTCTGTACACCTAGCGCTGCCCGCCCCGCTTGTGTCTGAAGTCGTGTATGTCAAAATAAAGCCGCTAGAAACTGAGGTGTGTCCGCGTCTTTGCTGTCCCGCGGCTTCGAGGACAGGCCCAGCCCGCCCGCCGCTCGCGTCCCTCCGCCGCGCCCCCGAGCCGCCGTCCCGGGGCGGGGCCGGAAGCGCCCGTGCGGCGGCGGACCTGGCACCCGTCGGGAAGGAAGCCTCTCCCTTGGCGCCAGTTCCGCCTTTGGATCCGCCAATGGTTAGCTGACCCGCGGGCCCGGGGCCCGGTCCCCATGGCAGCCGGGCGCGCTCGGGCTCTTATTGGCTACGTCTGCCGGAGCGCCGCGCCTCAGCGCTCCGACGTCGGCGTCCGTGCCACGTCAACGGCAGCCGATTGGCCGGCTCGGGCTCACGTCACCGCCCGCCTAGGTCCGGCCTGACTTCGGGGCTAGCCGCCCTCGTCTGGCGTCGCGTCCTGCTGGGTGCAGCCCCGGGCCGGCGTCACGGCGGACTGCGCGGCCAAGGCAGAGCCAGAGTGGGTCAGTCTGGCAGGCGAAGGACGCGGGGCCGGGCACGGCGGCGGGAGTGCGCGGCAGGGCTCGGCCGGGCGGGCCGGGCCGCGGAGCCCGGGACTCACTCTCCGGCCGCCCGCAGGCGCGATGAAGGCACTGATCTTGGTGGGCGGCTATGGGACACGTCTGCGGCCGCTGACGCTGAGCATCCCGAAGCCACTGGTGGATTTCTGCAATAAGCCCATCTTGCTGCACCAAGTGGAGGCGCTGGCCGCGGTAAGACCCGGGGTCGGTGTCGCGGTGGTCGCGGTGGGACCTGGCAGGACGAGGGACGGCTAGCACTTGGGGGTCGCGGACGCCCGTACCTTCCGGCTGAGCCCTTCTATCGGCCGGCGCTGTTTTGTACAACAGGCAGGCGTGGACCACGTGATTCTGGCCGTGAGCTACATGTCTCAGGTGCTGGAGAAGGAAATGAAGGCGCAGGAGCAGAGGGTGAGGCTCGGACTTTTGACCTTTTTCTTCGCTCCCCGCGCAACCACCCACCCTGGTGGGAGGCACCTGACAGGCGGCTTCTCCCTTACAGCTGGGAATTCGAATCTCCCTGTCCCATGAAGAAGAGCCTCTGGGGACAGGTCAGTAAAAGTCCCTTGGGGGGAGGGTTCAGGGCCTGGGAAGGGGTAAGACCCAGCCTGGATGGGGTCTGCTGAGCCTGGATCCAGGGGCTCAGTTGTCCGTCCACCTCCCCACCCCCCCCCGGGAAGATGGTGACCTGTACTTCTCTCCTAGCTGGGCCCCTGGCACTTGCCCGTGACCTGCTCTCTGAGACTGCGGACCCTTTCTTCGTCCTCAACAGTGATGTGATCTGCGATTTCCCTTTCCGAGCCATGGTGCAGTTCCACCGGCACCACGGCCAGGAGGGCTCCATCCTGGTAAGGGACCAGATCTTTCTTCTCTGACACGCCTGTCCCCCATGCCCAGCCTCTCCCGCTGCCCAGCCTTTAACCCTCCCCTTGTGTTGTGGGTGCAAAGCTGTACCGTAGGTATCTTTAAGCATTGGGGCACAGCCCGAGATTTAGGACAGTATGCATTATCGAGGCTCAGACACACCTGGACTGGGCCTGAGGTTCCCCCTGCACTCAGGTGACCAAAGTGGAGGAGCCCTCTAAGTATGGTGTGGTGGTATGTGAGGCTGACACAGGCCGCGTTCACCGCTTCGTGGAGAAGCCACAGGTGTTTGTGTCCAACAAGATCAACGCAGGAATGTACATCCTGAACCCCGCAGTGCTGCGGCGCATCCAGGTGTGTGGAAGCCAGCTGCAGGGTGGGCTGGGGTAGGGCAGGCCCCTACCACCACGACCCTGCTCACAAGCTGCCCACTCCCACAGCTGCAGCCTACATCCATTGAGAAGGAGATCTTCCCTGTCATGGCCAAGGAGGGGCAGCTATATGCCATGGAGCTGCAGGGTGAGGCAGGGAGGCCACAGGGTAGGGGTGTGGTGTGGCTGGGCTGAGCCCCCTGATGCATTTCCTCCCAACAGGCTTCTGGATGGACATAGGGCAGCCCAAGGATTTCCTCACCGGCATGTGCCTCTTCCTACAGTCCCTGCGACAGAAGCAGCCTGAGCAACTATGCTCAGGCCCTGGCATTGTGGGCAACGTGCTGGTGGTGAGGCCCCCGCCCGGCCCATCATAAATGCCCCTTCTCGGGCTTGGGAGATGAATGCCTCACTTGTATCTTCCCCACTGTCCTTAGGACCCAAGTGCCCGCATCGGCCAGAACTGTAGCATCGGCCCCAACGTGAGCCTGGGTCCTGGTGTGGTGGTGGAGGATGGCGTGTGCATCCGGCGGTGCACAGTGCTGCGAGATGCTCACATCCGATCCCACTCCTGGCTCGAGTCCTGCATTGTGGGCTGGCGCTGCCGCGTGGGCCAGTGGGTAAGTCTAGGGGCTCGGCCGAACGGGGAGAGGGGCAGGGAATGCGCCTGCTTTGCTGACCAGGCCTGCCCCCCTCCCCCGAGGTGCGCATGGAGAACGTGACGGTCCTGGGTGAAGACGTCATCGTTAACGACGAGCTCTACCTCAATGGCGCCAGCGTGCTGCCCCACAAGTCTATCGGCGAGTCGGTGCCAGAGCCTCGTATCATCATGTGAGGGGATACCATGGGGCCGGCCGAGTCCCCAGTTCCCCATTGGCGGGGGGAGCCCTGGTGCGACACATCAGAAGGCCCTGGACTCGCCGTTTCTCTGGGAGGACTAGACGAGGCTGAAGCGGTTGGACGCCTGTCCTCTCCCGTGGACGTAATCTGGCAGGCTCCTTGCTGGGCATACCCCACAAAGCCCGCTCCCTCAAGAAGGGCCGGGCCAGGGCTGTATGGAATAATAATTTAATGCTCACTGTGGCCCTGACTGGAAGTCAAGCTCAGGCACAATCAGGACATGGCTGGGCTCCCGCCAGTGAGGTTACACTCAGGCAAGGAGGTTGGACGTGGTGGTGGCGGCGGCGGGGGGTCACGGGGAACAGGGCAAGGGGAAGCTCATAAATAGGGCCCAGCCTGGGTCTGAGTTCAGGGCTGGCGGCTGCTGCCGTGCGGGCTAGGCGGCTGAGGAAGTGGTGGTGCTTGCGCTGGCCGCCTTCTCCCAGTCCTCTACAGACACGATGGTGGCTTTGCAGAAGAAGCAGTCCTTGTTGTTCATCAGGTGCTGGTTGATACAGGCTCTACAACAGGGGAGGAGCGGGGGGAGGGGGAGGAGGAGGGCCTGTGTATCCCTGCCGCTTCCCCAGCCCCCTGCGCCCATGGGGCCCACTTACTTGCAGGACTTATGGCCACAGGGCTGGAACACGGCGGAAATGGGGTGAGCATAGCAGATGGGGCAGAGGTCCTCCTCGCTGGTGGGCTGCAGGGAGCAGAGCGCAGGGTGAGCTGGGGCCGGATGCCCAGACAAGGAGACGAGGAGCCTATGTAGCGTGCACAGTTGTGCCAGCACGTATGTGGGCGGCGCACAGCCGGATGCGGCGGCCCCACTCACCAGGGAGGCAGCAGCTGCCTGGGCCGAGGCAGAGGTCAGGTGTGCCAGCATCTGTTCCACCTGGGCCAGCTCCTCCGCGCTGATGTAATCTGTGTCTGCGGGCGGTAGCAGGTGTCAGACCCGACGTGGCCCTCGAACCCAGTGCCTCTGAAGTACCGCAGCTTGGGGTTTTGCTCTTCTTGAGACTCCTGATCTAGTCCAGCCCCAAACCCCTGACCCACCCCCAGTCCACTCACAGCTCTGCAGGGAGAAGCGCTTCCGGTCAGGGGCAGGCAGGGCAGTGCCAGGGGCAGGGGGCTCTGGCTGCCCCAGGAGATAACATATAGAGCTGAGCTGGAAGCAGGGATCAGCAAGGAGCACGGACGTGGCTCGCTCTCTCCTAGGTGGGAGAGGGGGACAAGCGTAGTCAGAAAGCAGTACCTGCTGGAGGGGCGGGGGTGATGGGACAATCCAGCTCACCTCTTGTTTTCACCCACCGCCCCCACCCCATGCCCCTCATCCTAGAGCCCAGTAAGAACTCATACAGCCTGGGTGCCAGTTTAAGGGGGTGACCAGCAGATAGTGAGTCTGCCTACCCCTAATAAACACTAACTCTCCAAAGAAAACAAATAAAGAACATCACTAGCAGCTTAAAGGAGTGCCTCCCAGGTTTCCCCTCCTACTGTTCTGGGGGAGATGGGCACGGGCAAAGCCACTGGCCAAGCACAGGCTGGGGCATTCGGGGCGGGCTCGCGCCCCCTCTGGCGGCCACGCGGGGAACCTCGGTCGCGGGGAAGAGAGGGGCTGCCCCGCCCCCTCCAACAGGAGCCAATGGGAGGCTGCGGCCCCGCCCTCCTCCGGGAGAGTATTTAGAAGCTGACCAGGGAAGCCCTCGGAGAGCTGGGGAAGCCAGAGAAGAGAGTGCGGAGTGCAGGCCGGCCCCAAATCCCGCCCCGGAGCCGGGGGAACAGGGGCGGTGGGCGTGGGGGGGCTGAGCCCACAGCCAACAGAAGTGGGTGAGTCCCGGCGCGGCGTGTCCGGCACAGAGCTGCCCCGTCCCAGCCCCCGGCAGGCGCCACCATGGTCTGGCTGGTGCTGCTGGGCGCACTGCTGTGCCTGTCGCGCGTCGGGGTGGGCGGCCTGGGCGCGGAGGACTTCCTGCCCTCCGGTCCCCGTGACTGCCCCTACAGATGTGTGTGCGCTGCCGACCTGCTGAGCTGCGCGGGCCTGGGGCTGCAGGACGTGCCGGCCGCGCTGCCCGCCGCCACCACAGACCTCGACCTGAGCCACAACGCGCTCCAGCGCCTGCGGCCCGGCTGGCTGACGCCCCTCTCCCGGCTGCGCGCCCTGCGCCTGGGCCACAACGAGCTGGACGCGCTAGGTCGCGGAGTGTTCACCAACGCCAGCGGCCTGCGGCTGCTCGACCTATCGTCTAACGCGCTGCGGGCGCTGGGACGCCACGACCTCGAAGGGCTGGGGGCGCTCGAGAGGCTGCTGCTGTTCAATAACCGACTGGCGCACTTGGACGAGCTCGCCTTCCGGGGCCTGGGCGCACTCAGCCGGCTCTACCTGGGCTGCAACCAGCTCTCCTCCTTCTCCTTTGACCACCTCCACGGCCTGGGCGCCACCCACCTCCGTACTCTGGACCTCTCCTCCAACCGCCTGGGCCGCATCCCCGTGGCTGCCCTGGCTGCCCTGCCGGCCTTTCTCAAGAACGGCCTTTACTTGCACAACAACCCCCTGGCCTGCGACTGCCGCCTCTACCACCTGCTGCAGCGCTGGCTCCAGCGGGGCCTCAGTGCCGTCAGTGACTTCGCCCCACAGTACATGTGCCTGGCCTTCAGGGTGCCCACGTCCCGCGTGCGCTTCTTTGAGCACAGCCGCGTCTTCGAGAATTGCTCGGCCGCCCTGGTCGGGGGCCTGGAGCGGCCCGAAGAGCAGCTGCACGTGCAGATGGGTCGGCCCCTGACGCTGCGCTGCAACACCAGCGCCCCGGCTGTGCGCGTCGCCTGGGTGTCCCCAAAGCAGGAGCTGCTGGTGGCCCCGGGGTCCCGAGACGGCAGCATCGCGGTGCTGGCCGACGGCAGCCTGGCCATCAGCAACGTGCAGCCGTGGCACGAGGGGCTCTTCGTGTGCCTGGCCGCCGGGCCGCGCCTGCATCACAACCAGACGCACGAGTACAACGTGAGCGTGCACTCCCCGCGCCCGGAGCCCGAGGCTTTCAACACGGGCTTCACCACCCTGCTGGGCTGCGCCGTGGGCCTGGTGCTCGTGCTGCTCTACGTGTTCGCGCCGCCCTGCCCGGGCTGCCGCCGCTGCTACCGCCGC